TCTGTAGATCAGGCTGGCCTCGAACTCATGGAGATACACCTGCCTCTGCATCCTGAGTGCTGGGATTGAAGATGTGCACCAACACCACCCGGCTTATTTCCCCTCCCCACCCCCAATCCAAGTCACTGTCCTTCAGGTTTGCTCTGGACCCCACTCACCCCACCAACTCATGTGACCCAGAAAGTTTAGTCACCCCTATTAAATTCTTAAAACTAGATATTTAATTCTTAAAATCTTGCAAGTTATTACAGAAATAAAAGCATAACACAAAAGACAGATGAATGGATACAAAAAATGGAATTACAAAGAAAATAAGGGATTTGAATAAAGCAAGAGACTTAGTTTGATGTACCACACAGTAGTAGAGTCAGGGGAAATAACATGCAAATGATAGCAGGGAGATCAGGGTCCCTGTGGAGGTTCTTAGTCTCCTTAATAAAAATCAGTTAAGAGCAGACTCAAACAGAAGCTCGGGGGCAATTTTATTCAAGTTTAAAAGAAAAACCCCCAGATCAGGCAAGCTGTAAATCTCAGCAGCTGCCTAGAAAAGAATGAAAGAAAGAAGGGGGAAGCCCTGCTGCTTGAGTTGAATGGCATGGAGCTAGGTCACATGGCAGCAGGCAGCCACGGTGGGGAGGGGACATCAGAGGAAGAGCGGGGAAGCCCAACACATTAGGGAAAGCAACTTAGAGGAGAGAGAAAGAAGAACATGGAAAGGTGTGGACTCCTCCAGCTGGATGAACTCTTAGGGGAGAAGACAATGGCATGTCTCCACCTAGAGGAGATGCCATTCTTGACTGTAAACTGTCAACTCTGACAAAGTAGCCCTAAAATCATTTAGGAGGTGGGCTGAAATTGGGGAACAGATATAATGGATTTTCACCATGAAAACCCAGATATCCAGTTTCAATGCTGTTCACCAAAAGGGACCATCGTCCAAACTGACATTCTAGTCTCAATCCTCAGCCGTTAGGCAGGAGTAAAACCATAACATGTAAGAGACTGGGGAGGTGGCTCTGTCAGGAAAACGTGAGGACCTGAGTTCAGATCCCCAGCATCCACATAAAAAGCCAGGCACAGCACCGCATGTATGCAATCCTTATGCTGGGAAGCAGAGACACGAGGGTCCCTGGAGCTTGTCTGCCAGCTGGTCTGGCTGAATTGATGAGCTCCAGGTTCAGTGAAAGACCATGTTCCAAAAGAGAAATAATAATTAGATGGACAATTATTAAAGAAAATACCCAACACTGACCTCTGGTTTCTACATACATATACATAGGCATGTGTACACCCCCACCCCACCATAGAAACACATACACATACAAATGCAAAAAAAGTAAAGGGCAAATTTTACTTGTTTTAAAATAATTAACTATGTGTACCGTTGGGGAAGAAAAGTGTAAGTTAGAGACCTGGCACCATGTGGCAAAGCCTGTTCTGCTGCTTGGTTTTTTTTTTTGTTTGTTTGTTTGTTTTGTTTTTTCGTTTTTAATACTTATTTTGTTTTTAGTTGTATGTGTGTACATGTGTCAGCTTGCAAACCTGAATGCAGGTACCTGTGGAGGCCAGAAGAGGGTACAGGTCCCAAGGATCTGGAGTCAAAAGGAGTCAGAGTCATCTGAGGTAAGTCCTGGGAATAAACCCTGGTCCTCTGCAGGAACAGTGCTCTAACCAATGAGCCACCCCTCCAGGCTCTGGTTCTGATTCTTTCCCAAGCTTACACTGAGCCCTTAACTACACACCTTGTGAATCACCAGGGCTCTCTCTAGCACCCAGATGCTCTTCCTGGTGGACACAGAGGGCCTGCCTCCCAAGGCAGCACAGCTTTTGCAGCAGCTTCATCCTCCTAACTTGAGACAAATGGGTTTCATCACTCAGCTTCCAAGAATGTGTTTGCTTACGACCCAACAGGAGACCTAAATGAGAGCTCTCCAGCGCAATTTTATCCTTTGGTTTTAAGAACAATTTTACAATCCCTTTATAAAGCCAGCATGAGACTAAAGATGCACACAATCTCAGTAATGGAAAAGCAGAGTGGCTGAAGCCACATGGTTTCCTATCTTCCCATCGAAGGATTACTTTGGGTCAGGCCCACGCTAGCCCAAGCACCTCTCTTCCTGCTCCCAACCAAATAAGCATATAAGGCCCATGCTGGAAAACAGGCCAGCATTTCTGCAACATTGCAATTTCTACCCAGGGATCTTTCTGACACAGTGTGTCAAGCAAATTAGTTTGTCAAGCAAATTAAAAGCAGCTGTTAAAAATGCAACCTAGAGCTGAGGTATTCCTGGAAGTATGAGTGATCTCACCTCTTCCACCTGCACTGAACTTAAGGGGAAGCCACCTTCTCCAGACCCACAGTGCCCAGGAAAGCTCCTGGCACACATCAAATTGCTAAAATTATATATTGAATGGACCAATCAGTCAATGAATAAAGCTGTTGACATATCTGGATATAGAGGGGATGTGTGTGTGTGTGTGTGTGTGTGTGTGTGTGTGTGTGTGTGTGTGTGTGTGTGGTGTGTGTATGTGTGTGTGTGTGTGTACATGCAGAGGCCAGAGGTCAACCTAAGGTGTCATTCTTCAAAAGCCATGCACACCTTGTTTTTTGAGACAGGGTCTCTCATTGGCCTAAATTACGCCAAGTAGGCTAGACGGGCTGGCCAGTGAGCCCCAGGAATCCACCATCTCTGCCTCCCAGGAGCTGGGATAAAAGGGCATGCCACCATAGCTGGTTTTTCTTGTTGCTTCATCTTATTTTTTTAACATGGGGTCTGAAGATCCAACTCAAGTTCTGATGCCTGCATGGCAAACACTTTACCCACTGAGCTCTTCTCCCAGTCCACCGCTCGCTTGTTTAGATAGCTTTCTATCAAATTGCTGAATGTACTAGTTAAATGCATAGGAGACAATGAGAAAAACCAGCTCTTCCCTTAGGGTAAGTCGGGGATGTCAACATTTTTTTAGTGAATATATGTATACATATATATAAACGTGTGTGTGTGTGTGTGTGTGTGTGTGTGTGTGTGTGTGTGTGTGTGTGTGTGTGTGTGTTCCTGAGAACCATGAAGACTTCTAAATGGCCTTCTCCTACACGCTGTCTTGTCTCTGTGACTCTGGGTCTCTTAGATAACTACGAGAGCATCTTGACATCTAGCTAAATGTGAGTGAAACTGATTACTCTCAGAAATTAAGAGCCTTCACCAAGCGGTTGCAGAGCCCTGAAAGGTTCAACTGACATGGCCCTGCAGCATCCAGGCTCTCTTCCACATCCACTAACTCTGTTCTGTGCCACGTCAGCCTATCTAGGCCTCCCCCCACACACACACACACCCTTGGCACAGTATACACTATGAAAACTTTCATACCAAACATCAGCCGTATGATAAGATTCACCATAAAAAACAGTGAGTGTCTGTGGAGCCAGACCCAACAATTTATCACCCTATGGAACTCTGACTGTGTGCCGGGCACCCGCATGTCCTCCTAAGGGCCCTGTGTTACTCAGACTTTTCATTGATGAGATGAAAATTTGACAGAAACAGCTTGCAGGAAGAGGCTTCTTGTGGTTCAGGTTCAAGGACTTCAGTCTGTGGACCTCGGCTCCATTGATTCTGGACCCATGACGAGGGGAACAACATCACAGAGTGAGGACATTGGCAGGCAGGAATCACAGGAAGAAAATACAGGAAGGGACCAAGGCAAGATACAGTCCCCAAGGACACCTCCTCATTCCTCCACCTACCCCCCCCCCCTAGCTTGTCATTGCCTCCCAGCGATGTCATCATATCAGGAGTTGTCACAGTACTGAGGCCTGTGGCAGCCAGGCCCCCGATACACAAGTCTGGGGGACTGTCTTACACACAAGCACTCCTGGGGCAATGTCCTCCCCCAACAGCTCCTGCACACTCTAGGAACTTGGACTCCCCACATTTTGGAGGGCTGGGGAGTGTTGGGGGCAGGGTAAGAGGTTAGTTGTCTTCTGCAATCACTCCCCACCTTATTTTTTAAAACAGGGTTTTTCACTGGATCTAGAGTCACCTTACAGAGGGCTTGCACAGGTTCATTCTCTCTGCCAACTAAAAAATTAAAAGGAAGTAATGGGTAGCAAACTTTATTTAAAGAGGGGAGAGAGAGAACAAGGAGCACACACAAAGTCTCCGCAGAACAGAGAGAGGCTCAAAGCACACATGTCGCTTGTGTCCCAAACTCACTCTCTCTCTCTCTCTCTCTCTCTCTCTCTCTCTCTCTCTCTCTCTCTCTCTCATGCACACGCGGACACATGCGAACACATAATATTTTTTTAAGTCAAGCAACGGCAAAGCAGGAAGAAACTTGTATAAGAGCTAAAACAAGCCCCAAGGGTAAAAGGGGCTGAACTACAAGCCACCAACCAGACACCAAACAGTGGCCTGTGAGACCCAGGCAGTTTGGCCACCAACAGGGAACACTTTCAGGACCTGGGTGGGCCTTCCAGGCACTTTACTTCAGTTTCTTGGAATTGCCCTAATAGACAAGCTTTGTTAGGTCAAGATGCTTTACTGCCATCTGCTGGAAATTTATGGTAATGAACACCCTGCCTTCCTGCTCCTGTACATTGAAAGGATGAGGACATCCTTTCTGTTTCCATGACCTCCCAAAACAGCATCACCATCACAGGACCAAGCATTCAAGTCATGAGCTATGGGGGAAGTTCATATTCAAACCATAATAGGATGATCCTAGCAAAGCCCCCTTCATGTAATACTGAAAGCTGTGCTCTCGGGCTCCCACAAACTTCCATGCCCCAATCATTGTCTGGAAAGAGACAGACAACCCAGAACCTTTTCTGTGTGTATGGGGTGGGGGTCGGGGGTTGGAGCGGTGAGGGGGTGGAGTCAATTTGAAAAATCAGCTGTATGATTGTAGTTGTCCCCCAAAACCTTGCCTGTCCTCAGTAACCCTTCCGAGTCCATCCCCCAAGGCCTCTCAGATCCTCTCACACCCTCTGGTGTAGTCTCCTTCTGGATGACTGTGTTCTGCTCCTCTCCTCTGGGGCTTCCTTCCTTGAGACTCTGGTTACTCTGTGTGTGCATCCATCTCTCCAGCTCCTCCCACACTCCTCTGGGCACACTCTAAATCTTTCCTTAGCCTGTGGCAGAAGATCAACTCAGTCCCATTCACAACCCACCAAACCAAACTGAGAGACCTAGACAGCCTTTTCTGCTGGGACTGCAGGTACAAGGGGGAAAATCAGTCAAGGTCCCTCTGTATCCAGACCTGGGGAGAGGTCTGAGTCTCTGTCCCAGGAACTGAGTTGGACCACCCATTCTCAATAATCCTTAAAGCAGCCAAGTTAATATTGAAAAGCAGAAAGGTAAGAGTCATTCAATGTGGCCACACTGGGAAGAGGGAGACCCAGACACACAGGCCCATCTTCAGGGTTCAGCACTGATGTAAGATCTTTAACAGAGGGCCAGAGAGATGCATCTCTATACAGCCGCAGTCCAGTGCTGCCTGCCCGTCACTGGCCATCATCGCTACAACTGTGATGTCCAACAGGCTGGAATCTTCCCTGGAGGAAAATTTTCACTCTGGCTGTCCAAGTTTTCTCTCCTCTCAGCATGAGATTCCTGGGGAAGTTCAAATTTCCTGAGTTCCCCTGTCTTAATAGTCTGGTAGCCACACTGAGAGGCACAAGTATTTCTGTATAATATCCTTATTCCAAATATGATCAAAATATATTGCAGGAAATTCTTGAAGAATTAATAAAGGCATGATTTTTTATTTTAGATTTGTAGTAAAACTAGAGTATATTAACCTTAATATACATAACTTGATGTATGTTTTCCTTCATCATTAAACTGATAATGAACAAATATTCAAACTTAATAAAAACAACCTTTATTCCTGCAGGCCCTTTAGAGCTATGCATCCGGACTAAAGATTTCATAGACTCTGTGGATATCAGAGACAATTGACTATAAGAGAGCTCTATGGTGTGTGTGGTTTGCCTAACCAGAATTTTCTTCAACACTAAAAGAGAACATGGGGCTGAAGTGATGGCTCAGTGGTTAAGAGAAAATACTGTTCTTGCAGAGATCCTAGTTCAGATCCCAGAACCCATGTCTGATGGCCCACAACCTCTGTAACTCCAGCTCCAGAGAATCTGATGCCTTCTTCTAGATTCTACAAGCACCCTCACTTGAGTGCACACACACACACACACACACACACACACACACACACACACACACACAATTTAAAACATAAAAATGAATCTTTTAAGATGTCAGTGTTCCTAGGTACTTTCTAGCATGCCACAGTCCCTGCCACCCCTCAGGACCTGAGACCTTCCCTGAGTCTCTCCTGTCTGGCACCAGCTGTGGCAGGAGCGCTGGTGGTCATCATGGAGATTGCTGAGCCCCTTCCCTTGGATGGACAAAGAACTGAACATCCAGGAAAGACAGGAGACCAAGCCACAGAGAAAGGGAAGGTGACAGCCTAAGGCTGGGGGTCACTGGGTGGACGTTAGCTTGGGTACTTTTAGGGTCCTAGAGTTCTCCCCTTTCCCTTACTGTTCCTGTTGAGATACCAGCTCCATGCTCCGGTGATCTCTCATCACAGTGTCTCCCAGGGAGCCCATTTCCACTGTCCTTGTCTACCTAGCTCCCTCTAACTCTCAGCCTCAGAGTTTATGACTCTCACAAGTTGTATTGAGTTTGAGAAAGCAGCTTTTTCTGTCTGATGGGCTGCCACTTTACACTACCTTCCGAAGTCCTTGTCGTCGACACCGGTTCCCTGGAGGTCCCCGTGATGGAACTAAGGTCATGGGAACATCTGAGATGCTTTTCTTCTCTGATACCCCTCCCCAGGAAGACACAGTAGACAGCCAGTATGTCACCATGAAGAAATTCTATAAAGGGGCTGGAGAAATGGCTCGATGGTTAAGAGCACTGGCTGCTCTTCCGGAAGACCAGAGTTCAATTCCCAGTATCCACATGGTAGATTACAACCATTTGTAACTCCAGTTCCAGAGAAATCAGTACCTTTTTCTGGCCTCTAAGGGCTCCAGGCATGCAAGTGGTCCGCAGGCATACATGCAGCTAACAAACACACACACACACATAAAATAAAAAAATTAATAAATCTAGGGGGGAAAATCTTTAAAAAACAGTAGAAAGAGGAGCTCTAGCCAGAGGGTTCTTGCAGGTCTTCTGAGTTCCTCCAAAAGCCTCTGGCTGGGACCTCACAATGTGTGTGTGCACGTGTGTGTGGAGGGCAGAGGACAACCTTGTTCCTCAGGCACCATCTACCTTTCATTTTTCAAGACACAGTGTCTCATTGGCATAGCACTTGCTGAGTAGGCTAGGCTGCTTGGACATGGAGCCCCAAGGATACACCCAACTACACTTCCCCGGCATGGGAATTACAAGTGCACACAAGAACACTTGACTTTTGAAGAATTGGTCCTGAGAATCAATTTCGTCTCTACCCATGCAAAGCCAGCGTTTTACCCACTGGGCTATCTTGCCAGTCTAAGCTCACAACTTTACAGAGCTGAGGCAGCTGGTGCTGGCTCCCACCCCACAGTGGGCACAGCTTAGGCGAAGAGTGACACCAGCAACACTCTAAGTGGACCGGCCAGGGACAGTATCTGGGGGGGGGGGTGTGGATGTGTGGGGAAGCTGCAGCGTAGAGCAGGTATATTTCTGACTCAAGGTTTTCAGCCCTGAGCAAGAACGGGAACGGAAGCCATCACTGGGGAGGAGAGGAGGAAGGGAGGTTACAGTGTGCTTCCTGCCCCGACCTCTAAATGAGAGAAGCCCAAGGGTCCTCGGCAATCATTTTCCCTTGGGCTCCTGTTACCTCTTAGGACTGACTGGCCACAGCCAGGGATCACAGGGAACCGCAGGATTCCACCTCAGGCCAGAGAGTCTAGGCAGAGCCCATTAACTATTCCTCACACATCTCCTGAGTGATTCAAATGTGCTGAAAGATTTCAGAAGCCCTGCAGCAAAGAGGAGCAAACAATAATCTTCAGATGGCTTCATTCGGGTCTGTCTTTGATGTTTTTAATTCAGGTTTTACACAGTTTGGGCTGAAGAAATGGCTTCATAGGAAAAGCACTTCCTGTACAAGTCTGAGGACTTAAATTCTAGCCCAGAACCTGCATAAAAGCTGGGCGTGGTGACATGCACCTGCAACCTAGTCCTGGAGGCCAGAAACAAGTGGGGCCTGGGGACTTGTTGGTCAGCCAGTGAAGCCAAACTGGCAAGATTTGGGTTCAATGAGAGACCCTGTCTCAAAGAATAAGATACAGAAAATTACTGAACAAGACCTTCTGATGTTGACCACTGACCTCCATGTGCAGGTAGGGAGAAAAGTCTTAGGAAGTTTGGCATAACTTTGTCCAGGGGCCCCAGGACTGCAGGACATGCCTATCCATAATGCTTTCATTGTTGTGCCTTGCCCTATGCCCCACCAGAGAGAGAAAAATGAATAGGACACAGTGGCTGGCCCAGGTGAATGTGTAGTCACTACAGACAGACAATATCAGAGCACAGAGGACCTGTTCTCAAATGAGGAGTGTCACCAGTGAAAACAGCTACCCAGGCAAGACAAGGAAGGGTTCATGAGGGAACATAAAAATCTGCTTTTTTTATTATGTAAGTATGTATGTATGTATATATGAATGTTTGTATGTATGTATGTATGTATGTATGTATGTATGTATGTATGTATGTATTGAGACAATATAGAGATAGGAGCAGGAAGATCTCTTTTAGGCCAGGCTGGTTTTAGATCACTCTGTGGCAGAGGATGACCTTGACCTTCTGATCTTCCTATCTCACCTCCCAAGTGCTGGTGTTACAGATGTGGGTCACCATGCTTGCTGTATGCAGTGCTGGGGTGAAACCCAGGACTTCACACATGCTCGGCAAGCCTCTGCCCACCATGCCACATCCTTTGCCTCTCCCTTTTCCATTTCAGTCTTAATTCAGGAGTTATTTTTGTAGTCAGTGGGAGTCTGGAATCTGATTTCCCTGTTTCCATTTGAAGCAGCAAATGTCCCAACAAAAAATATTAAGTGGTCTTTCTTTTTCTTATTGTGCAAAGCTACCTGGATCAAGTGTTCCTAAGAAGCCTCTGAAAAGAACCGGGTCCTGAAGAGTCTGACAGATCGCCCACCTCTAGGCTGTGCCCACCATCCCAGGGGCCCAATAGGGAAGAGCAAGTGGTCTCTGCTGGCCTGGTCTTGTCTGTTGTCTTTCCTTTCTTAAACTTTTTCCTGTGTTTGCACAAGCATGCATGGGGGGTTTACAAGTGTGTGAGGGTGTGAACACCCATATAGGCATGCTCATATAAAGAGCTGTGTGGAGGCCAGAGACTGACCTTGGGAGGTTTTCCTCAATCACTCATGAGTCAAAGTCTCTCACTGAACATAGAGCAGAACTGGCTGGTTACCAAGCTCCTGGAAGCCACCTGTATCCTCCTCCACAGCACGAGGATTACAGGTGTGTGCCTCAGATTTTCACAGGACCAATGGTGATCCAAATCCAGGTCATCATACTTGTGTGGCAAGCCATCGCCCCAGCCACTCTGTTACTCATGTATTTCTTCCCATTCCTCCCTTCCCCCTCCCCTCTCCTTGCCCTGCCTGCCCTCCCCACTTTTCTCTTCTTGTCTTTCCTGCCCTGTTTCCCACCTTTCTTTTCCTCCCTTATCCCAGGTGGGTATAGACTTAGCCTTGAGGCCTGTTGTGATGCATAACACAGTCATCAAAATCCAGCCGTTCTCCAAGAGAATATATATATGGCTGCCTCTGTCACATTTTCTTTCCCTGAGCAGGGTGGGCTGGGCTGACCTCTGTTCCATTTAGCAGAGACAGAGTGTCAGGACTATTAAAATCTACAGTGCCTTGCTTGGCTCTGGGTGATTCATGGCCACTAATCCCTGTGGATATATTTTTATTTTCTTAGATATATTGGATGTGCAAGTGGTATATATTGGAAAAGCCTATTGTTTATTGACACGAGCCCAGTAAAGACTCTGATTAATCTTAAAAATAAATAGAGCAAAGTGGAAGGTCACACTCTGGATCAAGAGCTCCGATTATATCCAGGATCGCTAAGTTATTTATTTCCAGCT